TTGTAATGCTGCATACTGTGATACTGTCCAGTCTGAAAGTAAACATAGGCCACTCCTTTATGGTGTAAAGACATTTCCAAATTATTAAATTACATCAGAGATCAAATATATGATATTGTACGAACACTAACCAAGAAGATTCAGAAAGGTCGTATTCAACACTGCACAACACAAAAACAGACTCACCGGTCAATGAGGTGACCAAACACACAACAGTTGAATATACAGGTGTGGAGTTATCTGTAACACCTACTGTACCGTTTGAAACAGTAAATCAACATTGCACATAAGATCATTAGGACACAGTAAAAAAGCCAAAAATTAAACATTGATGTTATCACTGTAATTGTCACAGCTGTGCATTAAACTGAGAAAATAAAAAGGTTCTGTCAAGACATGAAAAACAACTGGTAAATGGTTCAGTTTCTGTTTAAAAATGGCACTCACATATTCATAAGACTTTTTACATTCAACGCTACCAGGATATTTCACCCAAAATGAAAAATCTGTCATAATTTACTCACCTGAAGTTGGTGATACAAAAAAACATACTATGGAAGTCAATGGGGCCCATCAACTGTTTGGTAAGCCATATTCTTCAAAATATCATCTTTTGTGTTCAACAGAAAAAAAGAAATACAACTTGAGGAGAATAAATGATGACAGAATTTTTCATTTTCAGGTGAACTGTCCCTTTAAAGAACATCATATCACTGTTAAACAACAGATAGTAGTTGGTAAATGCTTGATAAGAAAAAAAACAAACAAACCGAGAGATCGAGAGTAAAGCACAATTAATGTGCCCGTTAAATGTCATCTCTAACATAGAGTGCCAGGCTGGATACGCATCGGAATGCCACACACACAGAATACCCCAAAACGCATAAAAAAAGGAAACAAACGCGTAAAGCGTCATCAAAAATATATTCAGTATTCATAAATTATGAATTTTAATCAAATTAAAGTCATTCAAAAATAAAATATTGCAGAAATAAAGTGATGCATTAAAATGACGATTAATAAGCATTTGTGGAATTAAAAAAATTAAATACGAGAAAGAAATTATAAAAAAAAAATCAGTGCTTCAAGTAAGCCTGTCTACAAGTATGATTTATAAAATCAGATTCATGAAGTGAAGATGGGAGTGTCTAGGCCACTGGACATAACAGAGAATATTCCACTGATCTTTTTAATCAATAAATAATACAAATAACTTTCCATAACTGCCATAAGATAAGAATGCCACCTCACAGCTGTTAAAAGAATAGTTCACGCCAAAATGAAAATTCTGCCATCATTTTCTCACCCTCATGTTGATCCAAACCTGGGATTTTATTCTATGTTCTACAGAAAGTATTTTGAGACAGTTTCAGTGTTTTTTGTCCATACAAGGGAAGTCAATGGTAACCAAACTGGTTTAGATGGTCCAACATTCTTCTTTTGTGTGTGTGTGTGTGTGTGTGTGTGTGTGTGTTCTGCAGAAGAAAGTCAGTCATTTA